GCAAAAAACTATTAGCAAAACAGTGGTCGTTTTATTAGGTTATTTTGCCACAACAACCAAATTCCTATCCTTTCACTTTTTGCTTATTCTTTAGACAAAAAAAGAAAAATAGCTGCACTATTCTTATCAGTGTTAAATTACAAATTTTCCTTTTTTTCTTACTTTTAATCCAAATTTGTAGCTTATAAAAGCAAAAAAAACCCGACTTTAATTCAGTGTTGTTTAAAAAAATGTAGTGAAAAATTATTTTAACATCAACGTTTTTTTTTATTGTTTCAAAAAAAAAATGTATGTTTAATAAAGAAACATAATTTAATGTAAGATTTTTTTTTTTTTTTGCTTGATTTCTGATATAAACATAAATTTTATCTGTTTAAAGTAAGGAAAAAAGAAAAAGAAGAAGGAGAAAAAGTTTCTCAGATTACAAAATGTAGAAACATATTAATATACAATCCTTTTTTTTTTTTATTCTTATTTTTGTTAGCCTCAGAAATAAGGAATGAAAAAGAATCTTTGCTGCTGTTGCTTAAGACTAAATTCACTGCTGGCATTACTGCTACTAAACCGTGTAGATGCATGACGACGATGACGACGATGACGACGACGATGACGACGACGACGATGACGGTGATGTCAGTGACGGCGGAAGAAAAAAAAACAAGAATATCCTTCAAAATAGTCATTTTACAGCAGTTATTTGATAAAAGAAGAAATAAAAAAATTGCTGAATAACAAAAATTTATTTGTATGGTTTCAATTCAAAACTCAATCTTTGAATTCACCGTTGTTTTGTTAAGTTTCTTAAACGGCTACAACACTTTTTCATACCAGAATTCTGTTCATCAGAATAACATTGTTCCTTCAGTCAATTTGTTTATTTGTTGTTTATCATTTCAACTCTTTATGCTTATTTATATACTTTGAAAAGAAACAAAGAGATATTTCTACTTTTTTTTAATTTTGCCTTGTATAGCTGTAACACTATAAGTTAGATTAAAGAAATTAAAAAACAACTACTACAAAACAATAGTAATAAGCAAAAAAGAAAAGAAAAACAAAAACAAAAAAAAACAACTTTCTCCTAAAATAACCTTAGTGGAATAATCAAATTGCCTTTTGTTGTTAAAAGTCGATAAGGTCGACAGAAGAAGAAGAAGAAAAAAAAAGGTATTCCAGACAACTGTTCATCAATAATTTTTCTAAACTATAGCAAAAGAAAGAAGGAGAAAAAAAAAAGGCTAAAAACCATAAACGGCAGTTAGATAAAAGTTATTAACAGCTGTTTTTTTAGCAATAATCTGTTGGATCTAAGGATGGATAGCATATTGTGGTAAACAGTATTTGTTAACAAGAGATGTTGTTTTGAAAAAAACAAAAAAATATAGCAGAAAAAAGATGGAAAAGATAGGATTGAAAATTGTTTTTTTTGTTCTGCAAATAAACAGGTAAAATATGATGTAAAATTTTTTTGTGTAAATCAAAAAGATGACAAAAAAAAAAAA